AGTTATAAAATTCCATGACAAAGTTACAAAGATCTGACAATACGGACTCCATAAACCTAAGTATACGTATCAATCTGTGTTAACTGTATTTATTCACAAGTACATTTTAATTAACCCCAGTACTAAGGTTTTTATAATTATGTGGCTTCACTGATACGTTCACATAACATTAGGACTTTGACACACTTTCATTAGTTATTACTTACTTTAGTGCCACTTTTATACTAATCTTCTTGATCCTTTATATTTTTGTGTATTACATCAATTCACACAAGATCTGATCTACCATAACTAGAAAGTTTTTGAGACTTCAATATTCACTAAGAAGGATTTTTTAAAGCTCATCTTTTCAACATTTTTGTATCTGTATTAATTTTTGAATGTCAATGTTTTTTCATATATAAAACCTTTTTAGCCCTTTGTAAGACTGTAATATAAGAAACATGTCTTTCCTTTTTATCAGATAGAGACATTTCAACCACTATAATTCAAATAGTCAAATTAATGAAAGTCAATTTTAACCTTATATGCAACTGTAAAGTGACTTCTAACACTAGATATGTAAATAGTGTTTTAAATTTTCAGCTAACCCTAGGCTGCCCTAAAGCATCAAAATGCTTCTAGGTCATGTTCCTTTTAATTTTACCCCTAACAAAATTGAGTAAAATTGTTAAGTTTGCTAGTGTAATACAAGCAAATAAACAGAAGGTCTAATCAACCAATTAATTCACTTCAGTGCCAAATAAAAAATTGGGATTACACAATCACTTGTCTCCAGGCATATATAATCTAAACTTACATATATTAGCATTTATTTATATGTCATCATTTCTTGTATACAATCTTGACAGTGGCCAACATAAAAATATAGTGGCACCATTATAAAACAGGTTTAATTTCAGATGAGAAAGTATGTCTGTAGGGTAGGGAAAGGCATAAGTGGATTTTTCTAAGCAAAACTCCATTGCAACAAAAATCTCTGCAAAACAATTTTCCAGCCCCAAACGGTCGCCCACTTATTTAAAGGTGGTGTTGAATCTTATAAGCAATATTGCTACAAAGGAAGAATTTAGAAAATTCCTTTCAGTCACTGGGTGCAATTCTACTTGGAATACTAAGAAATGCATAAACAACTGAGGCAGCAAATACATACTTGTTGCACTATTAGGCAAATTAATATTGGCTATTAGTCAAAGGACTAAAAAATAAACAGCTTACTGGTTGAGTGTGAGCTTTAAGATCGTAATGCCTAGGTTTAAATCCTGACTCTACCAGTTAATAATTTTAAGGTCTTGAGTGTTTCATCTATGTAATGGAGATCTGATAAGATAATGAATTAAAAGACCCCACACATAATACTTCAAATAATAACTATTAACACTTAAGAAATTTATACAGTATTTTAATTTCATCTTTGGCTATTATTTTCATTTTGCAGTTCTTCCACCACATTTTATTTGTAAAGACATGTAATAAATAAGAATGATATAGTAAAACGTAAGTTACCAGAAAGCTTGGGGAATGAGTCATCTGGATAGGAAAGTTTTCCATAGGGTATGATTATAGGTATAGTTTAAAAAATAAAATCAACGAATCGGATACAACTATTTCCTAATACTATTATGTACTTCCATACATTCTTAATGAGAGTATACTGGTAGTAATTAAACTTTTTTTTAATGAATCACTACTGTCATGGATATAAATTATAACTGTATGTTACTATTTCACAATCCCCTCAAGGCTTACTAAGAGGAATAAGCCCACTAGACTTTATCATGAAGTTCATGGATAGAATCCAGGGAGTATGTGAACTTGGATGGGAGAAAAAAAAATACATCTTTATTTTTACTAATCTCTAACTGAAATTTAGCATTTCCTTCAATTTTGAATGTAAGCAACAAACAGCTATACCTACGTCTGTATCACCACTAGGAATGAGATACTTTGTATCACATTATAACTGTTGCTATGAATTTTATTTTATACATTTAGAAACATTCTTAGAAGAGTCCATGGATGGCTTCACCAGACTGCCAAAGTGGTCTGTGGCACAAAAGTTAAAAACTCTGACCTCAAATTTGTCCCAGTCTGCTGTGCATTGTTAATTAAGAGCATTAACATGTTCCATTATACTTTTCATACTGAAGCTTGTTTAGATTAGGGTAATACAAATTGGCTTATCTGGGACTTTTCTTTATGGACCTCCTGGATATGGTGAGTTCCCTTTGGGTAGGGAGCGATGTTTCCTACCATTCTTACATAGCTTCTGAAAGAACAAAACAGAGGGAAAAATAAGCCAAACGAAATTAGATTCAGAGGACACTGAAAGTAGAAATATAAAACATCCTACTCTCCTACTTTCTAAACTAGAAGACAATATGAAACTCCACTGGTTAAATACCCTGAAGTTAACTGCATGGGTTCAAATTCTACTTCTGCCATTTATTAGCTATGTGACCCTAGGATCAGTAACTTAATCTCCCCGTGCACTGATTTCTTTATTTGTAAAAGGAGTTAATATGCACAGTACCTGACACATGACAAGTGTTGCATAAACATTACCTATATTTATGATTATTTTTACACATGTTTCACATTACGGCCAGTTAATGTCTGACTGGTTACGTTAATAACTTATGTTTACACAGCACTGGGGTCTACAGTACCCTTTTACATACATTATGACATCTGAACCATACCATAGCCCTGTGAAAAAGCACAGCTATTATTATGTATAGTTCAGTGTTGGAAAAAAACTAAGATGGTAAGTAACAACACGGTATCACCCAAATGAGATCAGAGCAAGAACTCAAACGTGTACTTCATCCTCTGCCCCAACTGCCTAATTCTGTTTCTACTCTATTAGACCGGTTAAAACAGAGAACAAAGATTATTTTGGAAGAAGGGAAATAGGCTATGTGATGAGCACTTTAGTGCTCTGCTACTCACAGGGTTGTCTTCTGGCCAGAATAATCTGTAACACTTAGGAGTTTGTTAAAACTGTAGAATCTCATGCTCCACCAAGGCTTACTAAATCAAAATCTGCATTCTGAACAAAATCCTTAGGTGATTCACATAGATACTATTTTGAGAAGAACTGTTTCACTAATTGCTCTATGACACTCATTCTGGCCACTTAAACAGTATACATTAGCCCATTCATCACAGACCTAGTCTAGTTATTCGGTAATACTTTATTGTAACAAGAAAGAACTTGATGTTTTCTTTTTTAAAGTATATTTTAAAAACAAGTTTATATTTCTATTTAATTCTTTAAAATACCCACTTCGTTAGGTTAGAAAGGAATGTTAGAAAACTTTAAACAAGTCAGCGCTTACCTTTATTCCTTTTAAAAATTAATGTCGTACTACCCTTTGCCTGAAGGATACACAGAGAGCAAAACCACTCTCTCCGTATTTTACATCCGGCAGATTAAAACAGGCCAATTCCATCCTTCTATTTCTGCCCCGCCCGGATATTTCAGTTAAGTAACAAGTTTTTCTGACCCAAAACTCTGATCTCTTGAGTTCTGCAACTCTGTGGATCTAGAAATTGAAACAAAGAGGAGGAAAAAGTTATTAAGCCCATTTCCGTATCTCAATCTTGGCGGATGGTGCGAGGCAAATAAATAGCCCGCCCCTATCTCCCCATCCTTGTTAATTCATAGTTGAATTTGATTTCTAACCTGTTGTAATTCTGGGAAGGGCTATATGGGCCCACTCTTTTCAACGCTGATCCTCTAGGTCAGAAATGCACTATATTTCGGCACGTGAGAGCGCTGATCAGCGGTTCGCTGGGTTCTACTTAAAATGACTGTTCCCATTTTGAGGGGTGCCTCCTCCCACTAGTTAACCAGCCCACGGAGCAGGCGAGTAAATACCGCTCACCTGCTTCACCGAAAACTTCAAAACGCCGGATCAACCAGGACTAAAGATACCTAACAATTAGACCGTGGTACCTCCCACCGCACATTCCTGATTGGGCGCGTGAAAGACGGATGTGTCGGCGCGCGCTCTAACCAGTCCGGGGAATTCCATTTCCTCTCCCTCCCACCAGCATAAGCATTCAGGGGCGGTGCTTCCAGGAGACGGCCCGCCCCAACTCGGGCCCGTGCCTATTGCATCTCGCGAGAATTTGTGGGTTTGGGGGCGGGCCCCCATCAGGAAGAGCGCACAAAACTGCCCTTAAGTCATTGCAGCGCTATAGCTCCTGTTAGCCAGCCACGAGGTTCTCGCGAGATCCGCCGCCTCAATACCAAGTGAGGAAATTGGGGGACGCTGCTGGGAGGGGCGTGGGTCTCGACCGCGCAGCTGCCGCTTCCATTACCTTCCTCCCATGGTCTTCTTCCGGTTCTCGATGCTTCTCTGAATCTGAGGGTTTCCGTCGCTCGTCCACCCTTCCCCCCAGCCCATGACCCGCCTCCGGCCCCCGCCCTCCCAGTCCAATCTCCGATCTGTTTAGTAAGAAGGTGCTGTTCCGAAAAGAAGGAAGAGGGGGTAGCACAGATAAACTCGGCCCTGGACGTAGGAAGTAAACCGTTCCCCTTCACCCTTAGATTCGTCCTGTGCTCGCGACGGCGGCGTTGGCGGACTGATACGCGGCGGTGAAGAGGCAGGAGGAGGGGGGAGGGGCGGAGCGTGGCAGCTGGCAGTAGTTCCGTCAGAGCGGACATCTTGTGGCTGTGTCGTGCGCGTGAGCCCCGTAGGGCCGGGGAGGCACCAGCTGCCGCGCGGGGAGGAGGCCGAGGCCGCAGCTTGAGGGAGGCCCCGGCCCCTCTGTACGCATGGGTGTGGACGGCTAGGGGAAGGGAAGGGAGGCCGGCCCACTGGCCGGCCGGGTAAGAGGGGAAATACAGGCCTGGGGTGGCTTGAGTAACCAGCCTGTTGGGTGGGGTAGGGTGGGAAGGTTGGGGAAGCCAGGGCCTCTTCTGTTTAAGGGGGTGGGGGAATGGGCGCGTCCTCGCGCCCAAGCCGGAGCCTCAGGGGCAGCACGGGCGCGTGGTGGTGGTGGCTGGGCGGGCGCGTGCGGGAGCGCGCTGGAAGGCGGAGTGTACGGTGGCGTCAGGGGCCGACACAGAATAGCTGTAGCTGCGGGGACAGCAACACACATCAAGTCTTTCCTCTATTATTTCCTTCCTCTCCTTGGCCGCACCTTTGAGCAGAAACCGAAAGAAGCCCGGCGTCAGTCCGGAGTCTCCTGTTTCCCCCCTCCCCCCTAGCCTTTCTTTGCCCTAGTGACGCCGGCATAGCGCCGACTAGGCCCCGGCTCCTCCTCTGCTGGGCTCCGGACCCTGCCCCGCACCCACCCCTTTCTCCTACGCCTCTTCCTCTCCCACCCGGGTTTCTTCCTTTCGAGAGGCCGGGAAGTCAAACTTGTAGCCGCCCCTCCGCTCTTCCCGTCACCCTCGCCTCCTCTTCGGGCCGAAGCACGGCATAGAGGCTGTTGGTGGCTTTGCCACGCCACCCCACCCACCCCGGATCGCGACCGTTTTAAGGGACCTGGATTCATCAGGGTCTCTCCGGGGCCTGTACGAGTGCTGATCTGCTCCGTTTTTGCAAAAGGCGCCTGTGTCTGGCAGAGTCGGTGTGAGACGAAGAGACAATCCTTCCCTGCCGCCCGGATAATCAAGAGTTTTGGCCGGACCTTTGAGCACACACCGAGAGAGTGAGGAGCCAGACGAAAAGCACAGACTATGGCGCTGAAACGGATTAATAAGGTAACCCGTGGGGCTGAAGGGAATGGGGTCGTGGGAGGAAAGGAAGGCTTAGTCTCGGAGGAAAGCGTGGGGGTGGGGAGGAAGTATAATTACGAAAACGTCTCTCCTTGGGTCACTTCTGTTGGGGGATGGGAAACGCAGATGTACTTTAAAGAAATGAGGTTTAAAGCTAGAAACAACACTTGTGGCGAATGAGGTGTATCGAGTATGTTTCGGTGGAATCGGTGCAAGTTAGGGGTGGGGGAGAGTGATTTCAGGCGCTTCGGTTCTGCTTCTAAAAGAAGAGTTCGTCTTGTTTGAGGGTCAGAATTGCCGAGAGACGCTCCCGCAGATGTCATGGCGCTTCTTATTCTCGGTGCTTAAAAACTTCAGTTGTAATAGAAAGGCTCTTGGGTTTTCTAGGGGGAAGAATCCTAAACTCAGGGGAGATCATTGAAATCTGGCGGGTCCCGAACTTAAATGGGGGTCGGTGTAGAAGTCTTTTGGCCGCTGAAATGTAGTGAATGAGCCTAGTCAAACTTCTTGGACTCTGGGCAGGTTACAGAAGAATAAGTGGGGTTGGGAGGAGATGGCCTGACACTATGTAACTACTTCCTATGTTTTGTAGTTAGAGACTTCTCACCCGAAGCTATTTATCAGAGGGACACTGGGAACTGATGTAAAAGGCTTCTGGAAGCTCCCTTCTTTTGGGGGGGGAAGGGGGGACTAGGGGTGTGATGGCAGCAAAGGAAGGTTCGGTGTACCTATTTTTGCCTCAGCTCATTTAATAACACTCTCGGAGAAGATTGTTTCGCTACTTAGAACGTGGTTTGATACTAAACTATCGATAGAAGTTGAAAAAATAGGATTTTTCGAGGCTCGGGATGGGGGGTAAGCGGAACCTCCACCTCCGGTGGTTTAGTCTCATTTTCTTGCTCTAACTTTATCCCGCATTTTAAGATGGCGGCTGCTTTAACTGGTTCAGGCTTTTTCCGGCATCTCTTTTCGTAAAAATATGAAATAATATTCTTTGTTAAATGTTAACTTTGACATCAGGTTGTACACAGCTCTTAAGACAACCTGCTCAAGACTTTATATTCAAACTCTGGGACTGTATTTCCCTTTTTTGTAACTTGTGTTATGTGTGGTGTGTTTGGTTCTTGCACAATCGAGGAGGGTGGAGTATTTACAGCTAACTTGAAAAAAATGTCATGGAATAAATTCAGCCTTACTAAAACTAGAAGACAGAGGAGGTTGTGGGTTAGAAACTTCGGTTTGGATGGGTTACTTTTTAAGGGGGTTCTACGTGGAAGGAATGGCAAGGACTTGGCTTTACTAAGTAGACCTGATGCTGCCTAATTTTATTTAATACGTGTAACTTTGGAGTTACTTGACCAAGCGTATTATGAAAGATGGTGGTTCAGATCTTCATGCAATGTATTAAGGCTGAAATCTTGAATTTTGATTTAGTCCATCATTGCATTGTCATTGTGAGTTTATGTGAAATATAAACTTAAATCTTTGTTTTTGAGAGACTAGAAAAGGAAAAAATTGGGGGGAGTTAAGATTTAAAGTAAAAAGGATTAAGCATCTCTGACTACTTCTAAGGCCAGCAATACATTGGAGAAGCACAGTCCTATTTTACAGCATAGTTAATACAAAGAATATAACATTCAATACGAATCAAAACCTTTTATATATGAGAATTATATATGAGGTTACTAAGATGTGGAATAATTTCAAATCCATAGCTTTTTATGCGTGTGGAACAAACACTTTAAAGGAAGGTCTCATTGATTTTTTTTCTTTTACAGGTGATACCCAGCTGCTGTGACACCACTTACTGATTTAAAAGCTCTAGAGAGGCAATATAGTATAATTAAGAATGTGAACTTTGGGGTAAAAATACTCCAGTTAAGAGTTCTAGGAGTGGGCAAGTTATTTGTATGCCTCTCTAAAATGAATACTTGTTATGTACGAATAGTTGAGTGCCTAGTATGTTCTAGACACCAGGGAGCAAAACTAGGTTTCTAGATTTTGTTTATTTTAGGATTAAAGAGGTTAATGTGTGGCTTTGAACAGGCCCCTAGCACATGGCACTCAGATTATTATTACTGCTATTTAATATCACTTTTTAATCTTCAGAAACTTTAACTTTCCTGGCTTAGTACTTTTCATTAATACCAGATTGTCTTCAGTTGTAAATATTTTGAAAGTATGCATAATACCGAAACTGGACATAACAGTTTCCAAATTGGAAGAAACAGTGTTTATGCGGGACTGTTAATTCAACCTATAGAAAGTTTTTGAAAGGCACGTGGCTTGGTATTTAGCTGTTAGTGTCAGAATCACGTGATGAAACTTGAAGAAAAAACAAAAAATCCAAGATCCAAACAATTTTAGTAGACAGTTAATGGGAAATGGCTCATTTAGGGACCTCTGTTCTAGAAATACGAGGTCAAGTAGGCATTGATGTTAGTATGGTATTTCTTGTGTCATGTATCGCTTTGTTTTGAATTTACTGTCTGAAGCTCCCAAATTCCAAATATTAAGATGTCCGTATTCCTTGTTGATACTTTATTGAAATGCTTATCATCGGGATATTTTTAGCCATTATAGTCATCTGATCAAGCCTTTGGATTTGTTTTTTTCTAAAGCTACGTTGCAGTATTTTGACTATTTCTTAGACCAGGCAGCCTTATCAATAATATTACTTGGTTTTCTACTATATTGTTTATTTAATAAGCTGTAGTATGGTTTTATAGGGCTATTTATTAAACAACAAGAATCAAAAATGGGAACTCGCAAGTTGATTAGTGGTGTTTGAGGACCATAGACCATTTTACTACTCCTGTTAAACAGAATAACTACAGTGCTTGTATTTTGGGGAAGTTTAAAAAGAACTTTACATAAAATATGCGAGCTGAGCCTAGAGGATTAATGTTTTGAGTGTTTGCAAAGTGTCAACTATTTGAGACACCTGTATTAACTCATTTAATATTACAACAACTCAAGGAAGTAGGTACAATTAAATTGTTATCCGCATTTCAAAATTAGAAACCTGAGGCACAGAAAGGTCAAAAAACACCCAGAGTTTTAGACCATTGCAGAACTGGGATTTGAACCTGGACAGTCTGGCTCCACAATGTGTCTTAAATGTTCTGTCATCCGTTAGGTTTATGGTAATCAAAAAGGTTTTCTTTTGCATTATTTTACTGTTAATAATAGCTAGGACTTAGCATGTACTATGTACCAAGCACTGTTCCTAAGCCCTTTATAAGAATCAACTCATTTAATCCTCAAAACAGTTCTCTTGAGATGGATGCTCTTTACCATTCAATATTATACATAAGGAAACAGGCACAGAGAGGTTAAGTTCCTTGTCTAGTCACACGGCTAGTAAGTGACTGAGAGTCAAATCAGATAGTCTACCTCAAGAGCTTAAGTTCTTAAACTACATGTTGTTCTGCTATTCTGAACCATTTCAATGAATTTTTTGGTCTTGCTACCTGAGATAAGCTATTCTCCTTTCCCAGTTCACATTTAAATAATTGGGATTTGACTTTACTCTTAACTCTCAGGTTATAGCTAACTTGTGAACTAAGCTGTTCACTAACCTAAGTTTTGAAAGCAGGAATGAGTTTCTTTTTGATTAGTCTTCAAGGACTGTGGGAACTACCATGTGCCAACTAATTGCTAGGGGTATCTTAAAATACACTTATCCCCAAAGAGCCTGTAGGCTGGATACATGGTTTTGCAGGGGTTTATTTAAGACCCTCAAGGTGCTTCTGTAGCCAGCTAAATTTGTGGGATGGTTGTGTGACTCATGGATGCTAATCATGGTGACCTTGGTGTTTAATTTTATTAAGAGTGACTTATTTTAACATTGCTTTCATCATCCTCATGTGTGGTATTCTAGTTCTTGTTGTTCCTACAAATACAAAGTTGAATACTCTTACAGAACGAGGGGAAAAACTACTACTTGTATCTGTTGTTAGGTTATGTTACTTAACTCAAGGATTCAGTACCCCTTGTTAGTCTAATACACAGTCAATTCTTAAAGATTTTCCAAATCCTTTTGACTATAATGATGCCTTTCTAGTAAAGAAGATACTAGGTTTTTACTACTGACAAAAAAGTTTTCAGATTAAAGTCTCAAATCTTAGATTGGCTTTTGCATTCTATAGACTATGTTATTGTTTGTGGGTTTTGACATGAGTTGCATATATATATCAGGATATTGAGCAGAGATCTTAAAGAATGTAGTATATGGGATCTTAGCAGATTTATGGAATCATTTTCTCTGGGAACAGGCGTAATTTTGAAATGTCCCCTAGGTGATTCTGAGGCCTCCCTCAATGGTTAAGATCCACAGACCTAGGGATACTCATTTAATCAATTCTTAACTGAGGTTTTGCTCTGTTTGACACAGTAGTCTAGTCCCAGGAGATAAAAAATAAGGGAAGACTTGTCATTACCCCTGAGAATCTCTGCTTTGAGTGGAAGAAACAAGCACATAAACACACGAATTAGGTGTTTGTCACCTTGTGCAACTTACCTTTCGAGAATATAAATCAAGTATGAGAAACACTTACTGAAAAGAAATTAAAAGGGAATCTTTAGTCATATTATCAGATTTACCCATTATTATTAAAGATAGTTTAAATATTTTACCTATACTATATTTTGTCATTTTGGAGTGGTTTTTCTAACTATACTTAATTCTCAGTGTCAAACTATTTTGAAATTAGCGAAGTTACAGGATTTTCATTCTTTAACTGGAAGGTTTGTGTTCTTGATTTGGTTTTGCTACAACAGTAATGATCTTATGTGAAAATTGAACAGTGTAATTAAGAACAGATGCATTTAGTGAATAACTTACTAGCCAAGTTAACCTTGGTAGGTAAGATTCTCAAAACTACCCTCTGCCTTGTTATTTGGGGAAGGAAAAAATTCAATGAAGTGTTCTATACTTTCCCTTAAACATCTGATTTTTATCACCAGTACTTTCAACATAATCT